ACAATGGAGACTATAGGTAGGACTTGCTTGAGGAGCTTACGGTTTGGGTCGAAGGCGGCGTAACTTGAATCTTTTTGAAGCAGAAGCAGCAGCTTTGCCTTTCACGATACATCCAGGGGAGGCTCATCGGCTAAAGCCTGTGGCGGCTAGACACTCTACGAAGTCCCAAAAACAAGTGCTATATAAACACCAGTAGACATAGCGAAACACCACAAGGTGTTTATATGACTGACTCGGGTTTGGTATAGGGTGTTCAAAACCTCCCCCCCCCCCCATCCCGCCCCCATGAACCATTACACTTGCTTGCTGCCGAGCCTGTGGCGAGCCCTCGTCTTGGCCCTGCGGCTTCCAAGCTCATTTGGGGTAGTCTCGAGCTCGGGTTTCCGGGTTTCGGGCTTACGGACGTCGTCGGGGGAGAGTATCCCAACGTCCCAGGCAAGGTTCTCAATAGAAGCGAGGTCACTGTCATGGCCCATGGAGCCACTAGGCCCCACCTCCTTGCAACTGTGCCTTTGCAAACTCCGAAGAACTTTCACGCAAGCGTCAAAAACTGGCTGCAACCACATTGTCTCAAGATGGGCAAGCCTACACACATCAACTGTCAGCTGCAACTACGTGTGGAGGTATCCCAAACAGAGGCACCGTCTGAAAGAGCCCTCTTTGGGCGCAAGAGCAGTGGCTTGTGGAAACAGGACCGACAAGATTTTCAAGCTAATGTAAAAGGATCTGTTCGATGGGTGCATGTGGACTGCTAATTCTTGAACCTCCTTGGATGCATCTCGATTTCTGGACATGTTGGCTGCAGCTCGCCCACTTCTGGAGCAGCTGTAGGCGAAACAATGAAAGTATCGCGTAGCCTCGATGAGCTCTTCGCTCCAGCCTATGACCCTGTAAGTCCTTCTTCGCAACTTCAACCTTCATTTCCCTGCAAGCAACTGAAGCAACTGATTACCCCACCACCCAAAAAACTGAAAGCTGCAAGTCGGAATCCTCAACCCTCCCAAAGCCCTAACTCCTAAACCCAAAACCNNACCCAAAACCCTAAACCCTCCCAAACCCAAGACCCCAAAGTCCAAAGTCCCAGCCTCCATCTTTGCAGCCTCGGCGGCCAAGGCCTCCGCAACAGCCTCCTCCGCTTCCGCGATCTGCCCCGATGCTCAAAAACTGAGGCTTGGGGCTTAGAGGGTTAGGGTTTGGGATTTAGGGCAAGTTTAGGGTTTAGGGTATGTAGACCCATGGGGAAGAAATATACTCCAATTACCTACGTTAAGTACCTATAGGACCTATAGTATTAAGGTTTCCCGGCCAGACCCTGGACTCTTCGATCGTAGTGTCTGGGTAGCTCTATACCCGTAAGCCCAAGCCCTAAAACAAAACTGCGCCCAACTCTGCAGCCCAACACCCCACACAAACTGGAAAAGAACCCACACACAAACACACATCCTAAACCCTAAACCCT